AAAAATAAAAGAGATTATTTACAAAAACCGTCATAACAGAATGGGAATTAAATGATTCTATGACTAACACAATTATATCAAAAATTAAGTACGGAATACGACTTTTCGGGAAAACGTACCACGTACACCATTATTAAAATCTTGGACTCAGGTGGAGGAAAACTAAGAACAATCGGCGGATGCTAATAACAGATAAATAACAAACAAATTAAAAGAAACCTCATTAGTATAATTTAAACGATCCCTAAGCATTTGTATTAAAATTTTAGGTAAAAACTATTACAGACGACAATAATTTGACAACTAATTTGTTAAATGTCAAGTTATTTCAATTGTTTTGGAGTGTTTCTGGTCATGGCCAATTTGACAACAGGTCTGATACGAGAAAAACTGTCAAAAAAGAGAAAATTGCAAATATTTCTAAAAATAGTAACAACAACCCTAACAATGCATATATGGCTTGAAAGGAAATTTCAATCTGCATACAACAGAATAAAAAAATACAGGGTGTTTCATTTAAGTTAACAAAGTTACAGCTGTTTGAAGTTATCAAAATGTAACAGCAAAAATGAGTCACCTAGTATTAAATGTTTTAATTTGTTGGTATACCATAATTTAGTGTTACATATGCCCTTTACAGATACCAAAAATCCACTTGATATCACGCTCCTGAAAAGAGTTACTAGCATCTCCTCAGACCCTTGCATCTGTCAATTTTTTTTTTTAAATTAATATCTCAAAATCTATAACTCCTAGGTATAGGGAATATTTAATAAATTGACCCTAAAATTTCACGTAGAATCCGAAAATGTAATAATATATAGGGTGTCTCATTTAAAATAAGAAAGTTAGTGTCGACTTCCAGTATAACTTGAAGCGCCATAAAGTTCTAAATACTTTAGCTGTGTTGGCCCTATTGCCTTTGCTCTAAGTAGCCAAATTTTCAGATTTATCGGATCAATACTTTCCGACATATCGATTCCTGGTGGAACATATATTTTAATATTCTGAAAACAGCGCGGGAAATTTCAAGGCACGCCCTTGCTGCGGTAAATTGTTGTAGTAGCTCCGATAACAGAACTTTATTGGCTTATTATTTTCCTGGAATTCTATCTCCACAAATATTTTACGGAATGTAGATGGTATAAAATTGCAACTATAAAAAGTTTGGTGACAAATTAAAAGTGTTAAAAATAATAAAAAGTGAAAATATTGGAATTCTGGGACACAAAAACCAACGCTACCTTCAAATTTCGAACCTAGCAGCAATTGATTAACGCAATTTTCATTGAATAATGTTTAAAAAAATCTCTATTTAATATGTTAATATAAAAACTGTTGAGGTTGACATTGAACCTTTGAACAACATTACTGATTATATTAAAAGAAGATAAATTGCTGTATTTATTTTAAAAAGTCAACTACTTCGCTATATTACCAAACATTATATGTTGCAATTTATGATTACAATTTTTTTATTTTTTATTTTTTTTCAATAGACCGATTTCTGAATGTTCACATAACGATCTCTGATAGAACGAGAGTTATGGTGAGTCACTGAAAAAACAACAAAAATGTTTGGGTGTAGCTGACTAAAATTAACACCTTGCTGCAAAATATTTGTAAAAAAGTTTATTTTTAGGAATATCTCAGTGTACGTGGATAAAAAAGTATAGCCGTTAAAACTATATCGGACTAATCAAATTAGATGCATTACGTTAACCAAGGTACGAATTTTTCCCACGTTTTTTCTTGAAGCGCAGTTAATTATTGTGTTTTGTTAGAATTAGTTGAAGAAAATTATAGGGAATAAAAAATAATTCAAAACAGCAACGCATATTTGAACGAAATAAATAAATGTATTTTCTTTAGTGTAAAACAAACGTTTTAGCGATTACCATATCAGCCACAGTTGGTTATGCATAAAAAACCGCAATTTCCTTAAAACAAGTAACAGTTTATCTGAAATTTAAATTGACTGTTTTGAAACATATTCCAGGAATCGGTTTTTTCAACCGTGTATTATTCCATTTGCAGAACACACTTCCCAAAATTAAATTCTTCGCTGTGACAGTTCCACTGATGAATAAAATTATACAGTCAATTAACATTACGTTTAAAAATAGTACGTAAATAAGTAGTCTGTGATACGCTTTGAAATTAGGTTGGAATATATTTAGTGTAGTTAATTATAAAATTTCGACATACCCTAAGACGAGTACCAGAGGAAAATTATCGACCTACAAAATAAGGTTTGGTGGCACTGTTGATCCTTTTGAACTAATTTTGCATTTTTTTTTTTATTTAATCGCGTGTAATTTGGATTTAAAGGATCCTCACTGTTTCCTATAAAAGTTGTACGGGCTTTAAAAAGCCATTTTTAGGTAAAGAAATCGACCACCTGCGAAAGAAAATAATTAAATTGTTCTTGAAGGAAATTGCAGTAAGATGCTCCGTCAAGTCGTCCCGGCAGGAAGAATGGTTTATTATCATTATTGTTATTGCAAAATTGTATTCTTCAATAGTTACATTAATTAATTACGAACAATACAACGGGTTCTAATTTTTTACTCAAAAACGGCGCATGGCAGGACAAAAACTCAAGAGAGCTCTTATCTTTCGAATTTAACGGGGATTTCAAAAATAATTTTATTTCGGAAATAAAATCAGTGGCGTACCATTTTTTTCTTTAAAAATATCAATGTCAGTGCTCGTACGCACGCCACTGTTAGAGCTAAAAAATATGTTGGTGTAGAAAAACATGCGTCTTTATTAACTATCACTACGTACTAAAAAATATCACTGAAATAATTCAATAGATTTCGAAAATATTAGTTTCCTTCTTTTTCCTAAGATTTTATCACCCCGTATTTTCGCAACGGGACATTTTTAAACCATAGTTTATAAATCAAACCATCATTAATTTTCGCTTAAATATTTGCATATCATTAAGGAACACCCTGTATATTTCATAGTGTCGATATTAATTAAAAAATCTTGTGCACAAAAAAACTGATCTGGAAACTTGATATGGACTAAAAGGTTTGTAAAACAAGAAAATAAAGCTAGAATATAAAAAAATAAGGAAGTTTTGAAAAGGTAAAACAACATGGGATTTACAGAAATATATAGTTGTCTGTGCAGTTTTCATTTTTAGGCAAATATTAATACGAATAAAAAATAGAGATAGACTAAAAGTTTTGCAAATGAACTACAAATATTTATAGTGTTTGTGCAGTTTTTTGGAGGAAAATTTGTGTATATAGAAATATTTATAGTGTCGATAAGCTATTGACTATATACTTTAGATAGGAACTACAACGTAACAGAAATTTTATTGTGTGATATGTTCAATTGACCCTAAAAAATGATAAAACTGCAGAGTGCTACCTTTTAAAGGGGTGCGTTTTTGAGATCGAAGTAAAAAGGTTTTCAGTTTTATGTGTTTTACTCGAAAACTATGCATTTTTTCACTATAGTTGTCAACAGAAAAATTGTAGCAAATTGAATTTCCAATCGAAATGAGACCTTCTGAAGTTAAAAAAAATATTTTTAACAAAAATATGCCCAAAATACGAGTAAAAAAAACCCGAAAAACTGCGTTTTTGTTTCTATTTGGTTTTTGGCCCACAACTTTTTTCTGAGATAAGTTAGGTATAAGCATTGCTTCACAGAAAAAAAGTTAATGTTTTCTGAGTTAATTTAGTAATGTAATGCCATATTCAAATGAAAGCTGGTTTCAAGACCTTTAAAATGGTGCTTGGTTGAAATTTGTACAATTAAAATCAACCGAGATATGTTAATTTAACCAACGATACTTTTTCTTATTTTTATAAATTTTTTATTACTTTCGGTATTATTTTGTCTAATAAATTTATTTTCGTGAATGTGAAAGTTAAAATAAGTTTCTAGGTGATTGGATATTATTATTTATTTATTTAAACAACAATTAATTAATTAACTTTTTTTTCTGTGAAGCAATGCCTATACCTAACTCCTCTCAGAAAAAAATTGTGGGCAAAAAACCAAAAAGAAAAAAAAACACATTTTTTTCGGTTTATTTTTTATTTGTTTTTGGGCATATTTTTGTTAAAAATAAATGACTGACTGAGAATTGACTTCAAAAGGTCTCATTTCGATTGGAAATTCAATTTGCTACAACTTTTCTGCTGACAACTATAGTGAAAAAATGCATAGTTTTCGAGTAAACCTCAAAAAACTGAAAATACCACCTTTTTACTTTGTTCTCAAAAACGCACCCCTTTAAAATGTAGCACTCCGCGGTTTTATCACTTTTTAGGGTCAATTGAACATATCAAACAATAAAATTTCTGTTACGTTCTAGTTCCTTTGTACCCTCTTTTTTTTGACATAGTCAATAGCCTACGATATGAACTGAGAAATCTTATCTACAAAGAACAGCTCTGAAAACTTGGAACGAACCAAAATATTTGCAAAAAATAATGAAAAATTAGAGTTTTAAGTCGAACGACATGAGAGCTACAATAATTTATAGATTTTTGTGCAGTTTCCTTTTTTTTGAGCAAAATTGTTTAAAATTCTGACAGAACTATGAGATGCAGCAACGACAATTTGTTGTTTTGCCGGTTTTCCGTCGAGGAAAACTTGAAAAAGCAGCAAGGTATTGAATTACCAAGACATTTACACACGAAAATCTAAAATTAGCGTTTATATGTCACCGATGAGCCAGCGTCAAAAAATTCGCAACGGCACCGGGCGGTTTTGTCTAAAAATAACGTAAAACCCCTCACAAAACAATTATGTAAGTAATCTACAACAAATTTTCGAGCACCGCGTTAAAAATCGGCTAACAATGCAGCAACAATCCGCTCTGGCTATAAATAAACAAAAGCATTAATAATCGCGTGTAATCCAACACCGGGCAACGAAGCGGTCCCGCATATTTTTTTATTATTGCGGGACCGGAATGCGATTCGACCGGCCCGCGAGATAAGCCGAAAAATGCAAGAAATTCCTACCTTCTGGATGACCAGCGGCGTTGCAAAGTCTTTGCCGCCCTGCAGGCGGAAGCCCAAATTTGGGGAATCCCCCTTGCTGATGCGCACAGTAATCAAAGAGGCCATCTCACTCGATTTTCACGCGAATTATCCACCAAAAAAGACCACTCACACTGTATTATTTACAAGCCAGACTTTAAAATGATGTTATTCAATTTGAAATGTAGTATGTGGACGTCCTTTCCGCGGTGGCCGACGAGCGCGAGACCGACAGCGCGGTGGTGGGGGAATCGGAGGTATTAATAGTATACTGGACGGATTTTGTGTGGAATCGTGAATACAGCGGCTATTTGCAAATTGACTAAAGGATTTTTAGTTATATAGGTCAGATTTATTTCGCCCGCAGATGTCGGGCTTAATTTTTTGGGACCCGCTTTCGAAACGTCTCGGACACGCACGGATGAATCTCCTTCACGATTGAAATAAAACTGTCTCCGAAGGATTGCGGACTGTTCTTCGAAATGCACGGCGATTTTGTCTACCCTTAAAGACGCCGCACTATGGGTCAAAATCAAATATCTCGAAGAAGAATTAACGAATCGTTTTACATTTTTTTTAAATTAAAGCTTATTTGATGCAGATTTAGCGAAAATTATTGCGAATGTCATCACCTCCTATAGGCCAATCATTATAGCTTTTTTTCGGGAAAAAAATACTATTAGAAGTTTTTCTGCGGAATATTGTTCAGAAACGTGTTATAAACAAAATACCAAAAAATCAACTCGAGACTAGTTGGGAAACTTTGTTAAAACAATGGTCAAAATTATGAAAAAGTAGTTTTTCGACTGGCGTAAAAAAACTGTTATTCATAGAGAAAAAAAGGTTTATACAAAAAAGGTAGGTATTAAATAAATCTGTAAAATAAGACAAGTCCGATTAAATTCCGATAATTTGTTTATGCGCAAGAGCTCAAAAATGGTCGAAATTGTCCGCTTTTTTCAATTGCTAATAATTAATGCAATTTTCATCGCAGACACTTGTAATTCAGGATTTTTGAAGCTT